TGAAAAAAATTGTGGACACTTTAGAGGCTATTGATTTTCAATGATTTCCAGAGTGTTTAAGGTCATGAGATGAAGAAGCCTCTTGATTTTTAACAATTTTCGATAATTACTGCCATAGTTATGGCCCTTGATCACTTTGACAAATCTTGTGGATGCTTTAGAGGCTAAAGTTTATATTTAATACAGTGTTTTAAGTCATGAGATGAAGAAGCCTATCAATTCAAATGATTATGGAAATTGATATAAAATTTTTTGTATGGTAAATTTTGTTGTAAATGTTTTCATTTCTGTCAAGACAAAAATATGCAACAACCCTTGTCGTTGACTCCTCGGACAACTTAGTTGCTGTGGGGATATGTTTCGCTGTCTGGCAACATATCTTTTGTTAATCATGTCATTTCTCACATTTTATTTATTGATAAACCTTTCAAAATCAAAACCTTGCATGTCAGTGACTGCCATATTCAGTGATTTGATAAGGTATTCTTCAAGTAGGTCTTCAAATGTGAGGATTTCAGATAATGACAATGGTTTCTGTAGTGGGTTTAAGTTGCCTACAGAGCATGAGTATCCATCAGAGATTACCCAATTTGATTATCAATGTATACTAGAGACTAAATATTGTATAATAATATTCTTGAAGCATGTACTGTCCAGTATTTATTACATTGTTTAAGTCTTAGGTGTTTTGTCACTGCGTTGAATTAACCTCTATGATAACTACATGAAATTGGTGGAAGAATCAGTGGATAATAGGCTTGATCTCAAAACATGCCCTGAAATAAAACTACTCCTGGATTAAAACTACTCCTACTCATAGATTAAACTTATGTCAAATTTACCACCTATGACTGGGTTTGCATTTGAACTTTTACATCACAGCATAGTATAAGGAATGTATACAAATATTTTTATGTTTTGGGGGTTTTGTTCAGGATGCTAGTAACTATGCATTATATTATGTTCCATATGCATGTCCATATTGGCTCACTAACCAAGAAATCCCGGAATCGACCCCTGTGTTGGCTGAGAAAGTTCCTCAGGATTATAAAGCATGGTTTTCCCATGTCGGTGGTATAGGACGGAGGGCCTGGTAAGGAACAGGTCGTGTGTACACACTGCCGGCACATGAAAAATGAACCCTTGGAAGTTGGAATTTGAAGAGTAGGTGGAAATGCCACTATCTGGACAAAATTTCCCGTGTACTACACTGTATGGTGTATTCCTGTCTTTATTTCCATTTTTCTGTATGTAGACAAAAATTTTACAAAATTTAAATTGTGAGGTTTTAATTGGTAACTCATACCTTGCAGTGTTGAGATTGAGAATGTACATTAATAGTATTTGTATGTTCTTCTTGCTTACTTTTATTTGCAAATGGGTGAATATTAAAAATTTTGAAAAGATAAGAATTTACATTATCAAATCAATTACTGGTAATTATAATGTGTGTTTTATATATGGAAGAGAAGGAATTACAACTTAAAAATATATCTTTTATAAAAATAATGGCACCCCTTTAGTTTGAAATAAAACCCAATCCAACAAAACAAAACACAAATAAATCATCTACCTGCACTCAAACAATGACCCAAATCAAAGCGATCTAGTTATTTGAATCTATCTTGGATTGTTCCATAGAATTAATTATAATATGATGTCATCAAGGCAGGTTAATTATACTATTATTGATGTATGTTTGAGTTATGTAATTATTTTATATTATATTGTTTTTAATAAAATAATAAACACCCTATTCGCTTTGAATTATCATTAAATAAGCATTTGTTACATGTTACTTCACGGTTTGTGACATCTTTTTCCATTGCTTATTAACGCAAGATAGGTGGCTTGGTGTCAGTGGACACTCTAGATGTCAGTTTTTATCTGATTTTGATGAAACTTACAATGTATGTTTATAACCATAATTTCTTGGATTATGGCCCCTGATTGTACGAAAACTCACATTTTTAGCTTGTGGGCACCCTAGAGAATACAATTTTTATTGTTTGTAAAAACCGTTCAAATATATCACACGGTACACCATTACGTCTGAGCACAAATTCAAAGTTCATAATGGCCGTTCCCCTTTACGCAAATAATGTAAAAGCATACACTGAGAAGTGGAAATAGTGTTTTTTGTACGTTTAGGGCATAGATTTCTAACGACTTTGGTAAATTTGTATGAATATCGGTAAAATTCTAATTATCACAACAAATCTAATACAAAGAGGCTAAAATCTGTAGATACGGGGTGAGAAATTAAATGAAAGGTGATTTAATTGTCGCTAGGGTAGGGGTGAAAATCTCTGCGACGGTGCGTTTTCTGTACTGGGTGTGGTCGGAGTAAAAATGAAAAAAAATAATTTTGTCTAAAAAACCTTTTTCTGCTGAACATTATATCGGGGGCGGGCATGTATTGGACCGGCCATGGAGCGATGATGATTATGTTGTATGTGGCCGGTGGCTTTAACGGGCCGCCACGCCATCACTGGAGTCTGGAATGGGCTAGTATAATAGACTTTCTGGGCCAGGTGTGCTGGGTGTGGGCAGAAAATTTCATAAGATTCACCCGACACTGTTTCCCGCAAATTTACTAATTATTAAGTCATCTGCACCCTGTTTGTGGGGATACGCCAGAAACGTCTGCCAATGGTTTGTTAACTCCAAAAAAAATTCAATTTTAAGGCCTCAGCAAAATTTGATGATAGCTGGTCTGCTGGCTGAATATGAGTGCGAGACGATTTCCTGAGGCTGGTGTTAAACATTCCTTGACATTTTTATTAACTCGTTATATTATTTGACAGAGATTATAATCAGATATGCCACCAAATCGCATATTTGGGGTTCATTTTTCAAAATTTTCCATGGGGAGAGCCCCTGGACCCTCGTCCGGGCTCCACAGTCAGTAAAAGGGGCCGCTCCGACACAGGAGCCCAGTTCCCGGCCCCAATCCGCCCCTGAAAGGTGTCTTGTTCTGGCCGTTCGCCCCAGTATTAGCCAGGGAAAAGGCACATTATTTCGGACTATAAGCTATATACGACAGCATCTTTTGGTGGTTTGGGCTGGTAAACTTTACCGTAATAATCTAGCCAGTTTTGAAATAAAGCCATTAAAGATGCATTATGTAAGATTTAAATAGAGTTGACCGTTCTTGCTATAATAGTTCAAAAGTGGATAATGAAAAATGAACATATTACTCCATGACATGAACTAGCGAAGATTTAATTAACATGGTTGGGGGCACCACCAGGTACTGGAGCTGTTCACCTTACAGCCTAAATTGGTTTTCTAACTGATCTCTAGTAGGCCTACATCCACAAAACCTGTGTCAAAATTTTTCTTGTGATCCCCAATGAAAATATCATTTCGTCTGAGTAGTCTGGGCGCTATTGCACTTTCGTACCTCTACCAGTTCCCGTGGTCGTAGGCACGGGAACTGGTAGAGGTACGAAAGTGCAATAGCGCCGTCAATTGCTGGGATTAACCCACTTCTAAGTATGTCAAAGGTCACAATTAGTCGGCCACACTCAAAGCAAATTTCATTACAAACACATTATGTGAATCAAACTGTTCCATATTGGGCCCCCTGGGTCAACATCAATTCTTCTGGGTGGTCAAACTTTCGACATACCAACATGATTTGGGGAAGAAATGGCTACAGTTTTTTGGGGGGGTCTTTTTTTGTGAAGGATTCATTTCAATTTAAAAAAATAAATAAAAAAATAATGTACCTAGAAAGGTTAAAAAATCTATAGTATGGCTATTGGTCAAAGACAAATGGAGGAACTCTAAACGCTTGCTTAATCAACAGATACATCCTTTAACTGCTTGTCAGTATAGCTTTAAAGCGAGAATTTCATATTTTCTAAGAAAGTCAAAACAATTATTTCTTTGTTATTTGCTCAATAGGTTGTCAACTCACTATTATACGATCATAATTATCATTCTCACACTCAAAAATGTTTCACACCGGAAATAATAACACAATTACCTCCCTTGTTTTTCTATATCCTACCATGGAATCTATCTTCAAACGTTTGAATTTGAAGTTGAAAATGATATTTTTGCCAATTTCTCAACTAGCAATAAGGATTACTCTTTAACAAGGTAGTACTGTTTATACATAGCATCGATTCTAAGGCTTTATTTTAATACATTTTAAAAACATAACTTAAAAATATGAAATTGTAGCTTTAAGCTATTACACAGAAACAGAACGGATCCCAGAACGACTTGAACTGGGATAGTTCGCCTCTTTATAAATACCCGGTAGTGTAAAAGAGTTTTCCCAGTCCATTAAAACTTACCTGTATGTTATAATGCATTATAAAACTTCATAGTTTTATACAGTTTTGTTCCGTTTGTTTGAAGAGAGAGAGAGAGAGAGAGAGAGAGAGAGAGACGAATATAGCACAACTATTTTTTAGCTAGTTGATACTTATCCTCTGAAGAAGCTCGATCTACTTTATTAAACGGCTTGTGCAAGTTGTGGTCGGCCAATGGATCACTGCATGGTGGCAGAGAAATTACCGGGGTGTGGGTCCTGAGCAACAATTGCAGCAGAATTCCCCACTTATACCAAACCGCTACATCATTTCGTGGCCAAAAACAGAAAAGAAACGTGCCACACAACTTGTAACCAAGTGTAAATTTACTGTAAAATATGATGAAGGCAGAAAAAATTTGTTTTAGTTTTCCCACCATCATGGTAGACCTAACAAAAAAACACATACTTATGGAAAACAGCTACTAGTGTATTTAAGGCGACGTTTCGTAGAGTATTCTCTCACATGGTAGACCTGGTTTTTCTCAGTTTTTGAACGGAAACTAGGATTTAGGTAGACACATTATTATCTTTAAAATAACATTATATATTTCGCAATCAATTATTCTAATTAAAATGTTCTATTTATGTTTAGTAACAATAGGACTTTAATAAAGTTCATTTTGTGTTATCTATGGTGTAAGGGAGATAACTCCCATTTTTACACCCTGTTACGGTCGGAAGCTCAGGTTGTGTACAGTACTCATGCAGTAGGCATAAAAACAAGAGACGTGGAACTCAATCAAGAAACATGATTTCTTGGTGGATAATTTTGGCAATATTTATGATATTTTTGATCATACTATATTTTGCTTCTCCTTTAATTACACCAAAAGCGTTGAAATTGCAAGGTTCACATGTCTTGGTAAGTAGGCCTAGTACTACACTACTTAGTACTTAGTAGTGTCATTGAAAATAATATAACGGTGACTAGGATCAGAACTCAGCAGCAGCACTCAGCAGGATCAGCAATAGGCTAATAATGAAGTAGGCATATGGTAACCATGACAACAACAATTACAACTCGCTAAATTAAAATAAAATGTTTCGCATTCATTGCAACAAAACGTCCAATCAGGGCAACATATTTTGTGGTACAACAATTAAATACTTCAATACATGATAAATACCTACCACAGTACATGTTGTATTGTACTAGACTATTGAGTTTTGTTTATAACATAAGGTCTGCTTCCAACAAAGGTATCACAGACAAGTAGAAGTACATACATCTTATTTTTTAATTTTTATTATCTTAGTGCATGTGCATGGGTCTTTCCTGTGGAAGGAAACCAGAGTACCCGAAGTAAACCCACAAGGTTGAGCACCCTACATTCACATACATTCACACCAGGGATCAAAACCACAACCGCAAGCCAGAGGTGACTGGCCAGCTAGAGGTTGAAGAGCGACACTCTAGACTACAAGTCCATCCCAACCCCCCACTTACTACATGTATTTACACGTATATTATATAAACCACAGGTTCGAATTGCAATGAATGTTCAAGCTCTGAGTGGCATTTAATAATTGAACAGTAGGCATGGTAGCTTACACACTAAAAACTGTAGGCCTATATGAAATAACAATTACTGGTTTATTAACATGCAACATTTTGGTGGTGATAATGTTGTCTTTATCAAGCAAATGATAATATACGATACCGTATTGATAAAACCCTCTTTAATTAAGTAGGATTTGTACAGTAAAAAAAGTTAAAAGTTCATTGGGATTTTGAGCCATGCAGGATGTCCCTTGCAAGTAGTGCAGGACTGAGGACTGGCAAGGAACAGAGTCTAGGTACATGACTGGGACAAAAACTAAAGTCTCATTTACAAGTTTGTGGGTATGTACGTAAAAGAATTGGAATTAAATAAAGAGAATGGGAAATAGATCTGGGGAAAATTTCCCTCACATGGTGTATCCCCATCTTCATTACATGTAGGTGCAGAGAAGTAGTAGGCCTATATCAAGCCCCATTTAGTTAAACATTGTACTGTAATTGTTAAGTGGATATTGTTTACTTATGAACAAATAATAAAAATGTATATTAACAGATCTAAATCGGCATTTTAAATAATTTGTACTACTCATACTAGTCAGTTAAAATTGTGGGCAGTAGTCATTAAATTTATATGTGTTAAGACATTGATTATTGAATGATATGAGTTGGGTTGTGTATTAGAACTAGCCACACGGTTACATCAGAAGTTGAATCATTTACGGTTAGTTACACATCTGCTAATTAATTCTAACCATCTATACATAGTTAACATTAATTTAGAGCATGATAACCTGTATTATATACTGTATTGTATAAGTTAATGGCAAACATTTTCATTATTGATCATATCAGTTTAACAATGCAAGATTGAAGACAAAATAAACAAGTTGAATTTTTTTTTTTGGGGGGGGGGGGGTATTCTGAAATAGCTGAATATAATTACATATAGCACATAAAATGACCTGGTTTCTGCTTATGTGATTTGGAAGTTAAACTGATCAATATAGTTAAGGGGTTTTGGCTATCACGATGGCAATGCAAAAAAAAATATTTAATTATGGTGACCATTATCTATAATAGGGTTTTATTGTTGTTAATGAGAGCATAAAATAAGCATTAATAAGTAAATCGAATATCTAGAAAACTGACTTCTTATTAACTTCCTGTATTTTTCTGCCACTTATCTACAAATTTATGCAGAGCTATTAACAGGATATAATTAATTACCATTACAATAGCATAGGCCGCACAACCAATCAATTAGTGGTCCAAACATCCTAATTAAATGTCACTAGAAATTTCTTCCCTGGCCCTATATTTCATCGAGAGATCAGTAGGCCTACCAGTAATATAGTAATAGATTAGGTATGTTCAGCTCTCTCATCTCCACCATTTTTTTATACATTTTGAGTCGTTTAATGTGCTATAACAAGCAGATTGTATATCAACTTTGTATATGATTTTTCAGGTAACTGGTGGGTCTAGTGGTATTGGTAAAGCTTTAGCTATAAATGTAGCTAAAAGAGGAGCAAATATAACCCTTCTTGCAAGAAATAAAGTAGGTATATTTATTTATTTTATTACATTTTCAATATTTGCTGTCCATAATACTGTTCAGGGTTATTAGTTGATCCCATAATAGAGGGGTTGGGTGGCCAAATGGTTAACATTTGCACGTTGGATCAGAAGATCTGTCATTGGGTCAAGTGGCATTGTTTCAATTCTCTGCTTGTACATGACTTTGACAAGTACTAGGGTCGCCTATCCAACCTTGTGGGTTTTCTCTGGGTCCTCCGGTTTCCTCCCACTGCTAAAGACACATGCAAGCGAATTATTGAAATAAAATTGAATCGTATGTTAGTCCTAAAATGACCTAGTTTGTGTCAAGTGGACGTTAAACCCGATTCCTCTCTCTAATCATAGTATGATACATCACTTGTCATTACACTGTGCAATGATATGAATGCTCATATATTTGCCAAAATATATATATATATACACAGTATATATGATTAGCCGGTACATTAAAGATACATTATGGGAGATTAGATAAAGAGCTGGCAGTTGTCACTATAATAGTGAAAAACTAGATAATGTAAAGGGAATTTGCTGAAAATTTCAAATTGATCCACTTTGAACCATGAATTTAGCGATTGAATTTTGGGCCTAGCATCGATCATCATTACTAAAGTTAGTACGATAAAAAACAGTCTCGATTATCAATTTTTTGATTTAATTATCAATGAGCGTTGAGCAGCAGATAGTATTCCAATCCAGTAAATATAACAGGCTAGCGATGAAATCGAGAGTTGATTATGGTCTGGATAAGTTAATTAATGTCTAATTAATAATTTAGATAACATTTCAGGCCTAAAGAAAGACCTGCAATTGACAGATTTACCTCTAGCATAATGTATGTTTAATTAATGGATGTTATTGCAGAGTAAATTACAAGAAGCCAAGGTAGAAGTTGAGAAACATTTTTTAAATAAGGATTCTCAGGTTTGACTTTAGTTTTCTTACATATAAATAAGAATAAAACTGTTTGAAACATATATAATCCCACAATGTACTTTCCAATAAATACCAGCAACATGCATGTAAACAGGACTATTCACAGAGTTTAAAAAAAAATGACTTGACTGATTTACATGATGTATAAACAATTTATTTGATTTTCAGAGTGTCATATGTATATCTGTTGATATTTCTAAAGATTATGAAGCTGTTGAAAAAGCAGTCCAACAGGTAAAACTTATCCAGTAATTGCCAGAATCATTCAAAGTCAATTTCAGAGGACTTGCCATTCGATTAGAATGAATCATCCAGTGCATTTTTAAGCTGCTGCTTTATTCATATACTCTTCAAAAAAAGTAGGGGATATTCAGAAACAATACAAAACTGTGGAAATGCACTGCTGTTTTTATTAGAGGTAACCAGTGTATATTAATAACAGGCCAATTGCCTACACATGAACATAAACAGTTCATATGGGTGGCTTATCTGACACCCCCATTTCACTCGCAAAGAGATACACTGTCAAAAGTGAAAATGAACATTTTTGATTTTTGTCTTAATAATGAGTAATTGCTCCACCAATCCTCAGACATTCAGCAATTCGTCGTGGCATGCTCCTAATCAACCGTCCAATCAAGATTTGGGGCAAACTGACCCACTCCTCTTGCAGTGCCACGGCCAATTCTTGCAGTGTTGTCGGTTGTCCCAGACATGCTCTATAGGGGAAAGATCAGGACTCATGGCTGGCCAAGGCATATGGACAATATGGTGACGCTGGAGATAGTCATTCACGACATGAGCGCGGTGGGCACGGGAATTATCATCTTGAAAGAAAAAAAGTCGACCTGCATGTTGAGCAAAGGACAGAACTGTCGGTGCCAGGATGTGGTCACGGTAGTACACACCAGTGACCCTTCCTTGAACAATATGCAAGTCCGTTCTGCCAGTCATGGCGATTCCTCCCAACACCATAACAACCCACACCCGAATCTGTCATGCTGTCTGACGTTAGCGTTAGCATGACACTCATTTACACGCCTCCAAACGCGAGCACGTCTGTCGGTGAAATCCAGAGTAAATCTGGACTCATCTGAGAACATAACACGCGCCCATCGACGATTACCCCAATTTCTATGTTGCCTACACCATTAAGGCCTGTTTGCCATGCGCTGGCAAGTTAATGGAGGCACAACATGCGGTCGTCGCGCATGCAAATGGGCTGCATGTAGCCGATTTCTAATCGTTTGTGGTGTAGCTCGATTTCGCAGGACCTGTGTACGAATGTATCGATCCTGGGCTTGTGTAGTGGCTCTAGGATGACCTGAACGAGGTCTATCATCAACATTATGTGTTTGTCCTTACCGGTTCCACAGTCTGCTGATCACAGACTGTGAGACATTTGAAGCATGCCAATAGCACATAGACATTCATCATGTTGAAGACGTCTCATTGCAAATTAAACGTAAACACACTAAAGCAAAGATACGCTAAACAGTAAATCTGATGCAAGAACCGATAGGAAAGCAAACATGGATAGGATAAAACAGCACACAGCAGTTTTCATCAACCCTTCCTTGAGGTGTCAAATTTGACAATGAACCCTTCTGTTGGGGCGATAAGTTCTACATCTGTGAACATACTCTCAAAGCATGTCAAGTTTCCATGACTATTTATCATATCACAACCTGCATAGGTATTTGCATTTCAATATCCCATACTTTTTTTGAAGAGTATATATCTCAAGATTATGATTTGAAAAATGCCATATAATCCTGGTAACCATGCATTGAGTTAAAAGGCATTACCACTTAAAGGAGCTAAATCGCTAATATTTGGGACCTAGAATTTAACATAAATGATAATGTAATATGATGTATTTTAAACTGATTTACATTCAATTTTTTCTGTTTTTACTGTAATTTTACCAATAGATATAGCATGAACATTCACTGAACACCTTGAAAACCAAATTAGGCTATATCTTGGCAATTAATTTAAAGATATGTTAGAAATTTTAAAATTAAAGAAATCTGCATTTTCATCATCTGAAGTAAAAGTTATAACATTTATTTGTAGGCTGAAGACAAATTTGGACCCGTAGCACTTTTAGTGAACTGTGCTGGTACGTCCATGACTGGTGTGTTTGAAGAAATTCCACCCAGTGAATTTAAAAGAATGCTAGATATAAATTATCTAGGCAGTGTATATGTGACACGGGCTGTGGTACCCAGTATGAAGAAACAACAACAGGGTCGTATAGTATTTGTTTCTTCACAGGCTGGACAATTAGGTCTGTTTGGTTATACAGCATATTCAGCATCAAAATTTGCATTAAGAGGTTTAGCAGAAGCACTACAGATGGAGGTAAAGTGTTTTAAACATCAATTCTTTTATAAATACCGTACATATATTTATAAGCTTATTAAATATAATAAATAAGTCATTATTTTTCAGGATATAAATTAGGGCTAGCATAAAGTAAACTTACATTGATGAACAATTATTAACGAATTATAATTAATATCCTGTTGCAGTTAGTTTTAACTATCATTAATAACAATTGTAATAATAATGTAATTTATTAAATGCAATCCTGGACAAAAGGCACCTGTTACAGACTTTGTCAAGTACAAGTTATCACCAAATTTTGTGTCTCACAAAGTCTGTGACAGGTGATCCGGATGTTTTATTATATTATTGCAAACCAATAAATTAATGGGTCACGAAATGAATGTGATATGGAGGAAGTTGACAGAAAGCTGAAATTCATGTAACCTTACATAACCTCTTTCCTAAAATAAAGACATGGTATAGTCTACTTTGAGTTGAGGAAATATATAATATTAATTTATTTATCAGATAATTACACCATGCTTTGTTTTCAATTATATTGATTAGCTTATCTATTTATTAATAATAGTTGATTAGTTTGTTGTTTTGATTTACTCATGGAACTAACTACCCATTCTTTATTTTGTTATGTTACAGAAAAGAAACAAATATTGAAATTAATGTGCATGTTGGTTTACTAGTTTTACTCTACATCTATAAAATGTGAATAATTGTTTTTACAGTTGAAACCATATCATATTCGTGTCACATTAGCTTTCCCACCAGATACTGATACACCAGGTTATGCTGAAGAACAAAAATCTAAAGTGAGTTGCAGACTAACTTTGCTATTATATATCATATGTATATATATACTCTTCAAAAAAAGTGGGGGATATTGAAATGCAAATACCTATGCAGGTTGTGATATGATAAATAGTCATGGACACTTGACATACTTTGAGAGTATGTTCACAGATGAAGAACTTATGCCCCAACAGAACCACTGAGCTGCATGTGCGAAACGCAATAGCGGGGTTCATTGTCAAATTTGACACTTCAAGGAAGGGTTGATGAAAACTGCCGCTTGCTGGTTTATCCTATCCATGTTTGCTTTCCTATCAGTTCTTGCATAAGATTTACTGTTTAGCGTATCTTTGCTTAAGTGTGTTACAATTAATTTGATCGGGAGACATTTTCGTCGACCGACAACACTGCAAGACTTGGCCGTGGCACTGCAAGAGGAGTGGAGTGGGTCAGATTGGCCCAAATCGTGATTGGAAGGTTGATTAGGAGCATGCCACGACGAATTGCTGAATGTCTGAGGATTGGTGGAGCAATTACTGATTATTAAGACAAAAATCAAAATCATCGTCCATTTTCAAGTGAAATGGGGCCGTCAGATAAGTCGCCCATATGAACTGTTTATGTTCATGTGTAGGCAATTGGCCTGTTATTATTATACACTCGTTACCTCTAATAAAAACAGCAGTGTATTTCCGCAGTTTTGTATTGTTTCTGAATATCCCCTACATTTTTTGAAGAGTATATGTAGTATACAAAAGTTGTATATCATGTTAAAATCAGATAGAGTAGAGTTTGTGATATTACCAAATTATAATGATGATAGAGTTCACACCAAAGTTCAATTTAGTGTACTGATAGTTGTGAATCTATATTATCTGGGACAAGTAAACAGTATACATTATATACTAATCAGATAACCCTGTCTATACTAGTACAATGTAATGCACTTTATTGCTTTTCTAAAAAAAATGAAGTACATATCATTATTGAAAAATGAAAGTTTTTGAAGGGATTAAATTCTGCACAGTCAGTGAAGAAGGCTTCTAAATAAGTTCTTTTAACCAAAGTATATCTGAAAATTGTAAAGTTTACAATGATTATATTTGTCTCCCAGCTTTTGGAGAAAAAGGGGGACTATTAAAATGTTTGCTGTCTGTCTGTCACAGTTTATGGAACACAAGAACTGTTTCTAATGTATGTAAAATATCTTGACTGGGTTGGATGATGAACTAGTTCCACTTAGGCTAAGCAGAAATAAGCTAATTGCTTTATGGATGCTTTGGTATATATCTTTGGTTCTAATTGAGTGAAAGTGATGAAACTTTGTGTTCTGTTTTATCACATCACTATGTTGATGAAGTGCAATAATGAGCATTTTCTAGTCATGTTAAGCAATTTGATTGCTCAATGCTTTATAAAAAGATAAAAGTACAAATAATTTATGAGAGTCATCTATCTATTTTGGGATTAAGGCAGAGGACAGCTGCCTTATGTTGAATTGTTTATTTTATATCCTCTTCAGCCAAAAGAAACACATCTAATATCAGAAGTAGCTGGGCTATTTTCCCCTCATGAAGTGGCTAAATCGATTATTGAAGATTCTACTGTAAGTCGCATTATTTTTAACCACTGTTTTTAAACACATCATATTATGATTTCTTACCTACATTATTCATTATAATTATGCATTGCATTTGTGTTCAGTATATAAATCAATTTGTTATTACTATTACAGCATGGTAAATTTTTTAGTTATATGGGATTAGATGGCTACATGTTATCATGTTTAACATGTGGTATGTCACCAGTTATATCAATGATGGATGCTACACAACAGGTAAACATTATTCTTTTATAACAAAACATACTTGCTTTATTACATTTAATTTCCGATCAATGGATTAAGTTCTGTCAATGTTTGGTTGGTACTTATAAGGGATAATTGTGAGTAGAAATGTGCTGTTATAAAACTCTGTTATGATTAATCGGATATGGTGATCAGAGAAATTATTTGTTTATTATATTTTCAATGTTTCAGGGATCAAGAGAATTGAATTTCAGGATTTTATTAATTTTGCTTCTCTTCTCTTGAAATGTATCTTTATAACTCTAAGATCTCAGTTCCTTTAGATATTGTTACGTAACTTCCTGGATTATGCACTCTGATTGTAAAAAATATTGCATTTTTAGCTTGTGGTCCCTCTAATTAAAAAAACATTTGAATATAGAGAATCTCCTACAAGTCTTTTTTGATATCAAAAAAGACGAGTAGGGGATTTTATTTATCACACAATCCCTTCTTACATGCACAAATAAATAAATATAATTCTTTGCTATAGATTTCACTTTTACTGAACCTGACTACATTACGGCGTAGTGATACATCATTTTTTGACAGTGTTTCCATCAAGGTCAATTAAATAAAAATAGTTCCTTTTTAATAAGAAACAAGATGACTAGTCATCAACTTCCTGCGCCCTTGCACTTGTTTGGAAGAAATAAGGAAAAATAACTTGTTTATGCTATTGGTAATCAATATAAAAATGTATCAGATTTCGCAAACAGTGTCACTGGTCCTAATATTGTGGCCCTGTTTAGTAGATATTGCTCTCTATTTCTGAAAACAAATGACTGATTGATATTTACTAGAAGATTTGAGATAATTTATGACATTAAGCTCTGGTTTTAAAAATTAGACTTGACTACATAGAAAATAGAGATATTTTGCAAGTGGAGGGAACTGGAGCTTTAGACAAATCTCATATTCGGACACATGGAATATCAATTCACAGAATTTCATACTCTGATCACAGTAGCTCGGCAAGGCAGGGTCGCTACTCCCTGTAAGGTTTGCACAACAACCTTTGCCTACCTCAATTATCTGCTGTATGTTAAACAATAAACTTATACATCAGAAAATAAAATACTATAATAGGTTAATGTTTGTACAAAGTTTCAAAAAGATTTCTTGAACAGATAATAAAATATGCTCCAGAAACAAAATCAGGATGGAAGGCTGGATTTCAGAAAATAAAATAATGGGTAAAATTATTTTAAAGGTATCTTGAACAGTCAAATGTGTTTCCATGGAAACACACAAAATATCAATCCCAGAAATTCCTAAATAGCAAAAGGCACAACTACTGTAATAGGTTGATGTGTGTGCAAAGTTTCAGAAAGATATCTTGAACGGTTTATGAGATATGCTCCGGAAACAAAATTGTACACCAAAAACTAAGTCAAATGTGTTTCCATGGAAACACAAAAAATATAAATCCCAGAAATTCCTAAATAGCAAAAGGCACAACTTCTGTAATAGGTTGATGTGTGTGCAAAGTTTCAGAAAGATATCTTGAATGGTTTATGAGATATGCTCCGGAAACCAAATTGTACACCAAAAACTACCGGTAAGTCATTTTTGTTTCCATGGAAACACACATTATATCAATCCCAGAAATTCCTAAATGGCAAAAGGCACAACTACTGTAATGTAATAGGTAGATGTGTGTGCAAAGTTTCAGAAAGATATCTTGAACGGTTTATGAGATATGCTCTGGAAACAAAATTATACACCAAAAACTAAGTCAAATTTGTTTCCATGGAAACACAAAAAATATAAATCTCAGAAATTCCTAAATAGCAAAAGGCACAACTACTGTAATAGATTGATGTGTGTGCAAAGTTTCAGAAAGATATCTTGAACGGTTTATGAGATATGCTCCGGAAACAAAATTACACACCAAAAACTAAGTCAAATTTGTTTCCATGGAAACACAAAAAATATAAATCTCAGAAATTCCTAAATAGCAAAAGGCACAACAACTGTAATAGGTTGATGTGTGTACAAAGTTTCAGAAAGATATCTTGAACGGTTTATGAGATATGCTCCGGAAACGAAATCGGACGGACGGACGGACGGACCCCATTTCAATATCCCTCCCTAACTTCGTTCGGCGCGGGATAATAAGTTACTTTTGATAAAAATTGAACTGTTCTTTGAAAATAAAAAAGTAGTTACTTTTTGATTGACCAATCAAATTCATGTAGATTATGAAATTTATCACACAAGCGATATCTACTGTAGAATGTATTATTGGGTGATAAATCACAGTTATACCACAATGACAGTTGAGTTTGAATTTTGTAAAAATTGGACAAAAACTGCCTGACAAATAAAAGTATGGTAAGTCAAGGTTGTGACTCATCTAGAGGTCAAAATTCTGATCTGATTTTGATGAAACTTTAAGGGGGGAGGCTATCCGAAAAATTTTATTCTGAAATGTTAAAGCTAATGAATTGAAAATAGTACAAGTAGTTAGGAAATTAAATAAACAAGGGAAAACTAGCATTAAATAAAAGTTGTTGCCAGGGTAAAACATTTTTTTGGTGAAAAATTATGAAAAACGTAGGTACACTATCTCTCTGTAACTTATTAAGATATCTTTGCCAAATTTGCAGGATATATAAACTAATATCTACCACAGAATCAGACAGAAAGCAATTTGAATTATCATCAATATTTCAAAAGTTATCAAAATATTTCTCCAAAGACAAAATATTGTGGTGAGGCAAATGTTTTAAACACCATTTACCAAGAAACTATAAAAATTATAGAGAAAAACTCTTTGTCTGGTTTTGGGGTTATCATTAAAGAATAAGCAGTCTGAAAATGAGACATTTATCTTTTTTAGTGCCAGAGATATGATGTACCTATGTTTCTCATACTTTTTCCAAAAAAATGTGTTACCCTGGCAACAACTTTTTTTTTCTTTATTTTTAATGTTAGTTTTCCCTTGTTTATTACATTTCCTAACTACTTGTGCCATCTTCAATTCACTAGTTTTAGAATTTCAGAAAGCATTTTTCTGGTAGCCTCACCCCTTAAACTTATGTTTATATCATGGAGATAATCACGCATATCGGAACGTAACTTCCTGGATTATGCCTCCTGATTGTTTTTAGCTTGTGGACCCGCTAGAAGTCATAATTTGTATTCAATTTTAAAAAACGTTTAAAGACATAACCGTTGCACCCTAATGATGGTTGAGTTTGAATTACGTGAAAATTGAACCGAAATTGCCCGACAAAATGCCCGCTCCTTGTATGCAAATAGTGTAAAAGTATGTAATACCAAGGTTGTGGAACCTCTAGAAGTTACAAATTTTTATCCGATTTTGATGAAAATTAAAATGTATGTTTTTATCCAAAAGATCTCGGCCCATTTCAATATTTGTGCATATCGGTCTGTCTGTAACTTCCTGGATTATGGCTCCTGATTGTACAAAAAATCACTTTCTTTCTGCTCGTTCTCTGTCCATCTCTTGCAAAATGTGGACATATCTTGCATGGCAATTGCTTGTTTTAATAACATGTTCCATTAATTTTTTACAATGTGTGACTTTATAGTAATTTGTATGTTTTTCAGGTTGTCACATCTGGCATATTTAGAGTTATTTCCCTTTTCTACCTGGATTACTTTGATAGAATTGTGCAAAAATGTAAACTAGAGAGAGAAAATATCAAAGAAGACAAGAAAACATCATGATTATATGAATGTGTGCTTTAATATTTATAAGACATTTGTATTTCATTGTGTTTCTTTGCCTTTCACCACTGTGTATTATTTAAGAACTAGTGGTAAATGATGACATTTCATATTTCAACATTGATTCTCATGTCACAGGTCCAATCTATCCATTGTCTACAAATGATAGTGATATTGCAGACATTTTTAGTGTGTTGCCTAAGAGACAGATTGCCAAATTTAAATGCACACACAGATCTGGCAGTGAACAAACTTACTCAAATCTAATATTTAATGTATAAATTATTTTTGCTCCTAAGGTCTTCATTTATTTTAAGTTCTGAATAAATAATTATGGAGATTGAGAAAGGTTAGAAATTTAGTATGGCTTAACACAGATGTCATGTAGGCCTGGGAGCACTTCAGATTTTAGAGTCTCTTAACATAAAAAAAAAATTACATGATAAATAAAATCAGTAAACTAAAATGAATGATAAACAGCATTTGTTTAAAAATAATATAAGGTACTGGGCCCTTATTCACGAAAACTTAAACTAAGTTACAACCAAAATTTTAAGAAATACTACAACTTCATTGGATATATGCAAATTGATTTTACTGGTCTGCTAATCGAATTGCAGTATTTCTTAAAATTTCGATTGTATCTTAGTTTAAGTTTTCGTGAATAAGGGCCCAGGTTATATAAGAATAACTTTGACCTTGTGTACATTACAAATCTTGTCAGATAAACCTCAGATGCAATTTTGGTGCACCCTGTCTTCCTATTAACTGGTACACCTGGTAAATATTTAAAAATATTGAAATTAATTTGATTAATTTATTACATTTTGTTATAGGTGTATTATTTATTGTATCTTCACTAATTCTACTTATTTAAGTAGAACCATTATTGGTATACTTATGTTTCTATGCAAGAACAATGTATTATGTAAAATATTATGCATAATTATAATGGAGAATAAACTAACACATGTATATTTATAATGGGACAATAAATCATTTTCTTATAAATTGTAATCAGTCCATTTGTAAATTTTCATTATTTCAATATTTTCAATAAATCAGCTGCCTTGTTCAATACACATTTTATAAACCAGAAGGCAAGTATTTCAATGTCGGCAATCACTGTTACCCTAAAGTTCTTGGTGTACAAGGGGTATAACCTGGGGGGTCCTGGCAAATCATTTGTTTGCTTTCAAGCTTTCACTGACTACCTTAATTTTCTTCTTTATTGGGAGATTACGGCAGCTAATGAATACATCATTGCATATTATGACTGTCATTTCATTTTATACCGGCATTTCAAAGAATGGATGAACGGAATCGTAAAGTGAGAAAGAAGAATATATAGTAGGCCCTCGAATGAAATCCCTTACACCAACGTTGGAGGCATTTGTGCAAAATGTGCTACGTGCTCTCAATAAGTCCTTCCTGAAACTACCCCACCATCACGCCACTGCGACGAAACCATGTAGTTTAAAAATAGGTTCAATTAAATTGGACTGCTTGCATACGTTTTCTGATATTTTTTTTATTCTCTTAGTAACTACTACCATTATATTAATCATTGTTTTTCTTTGACATTTATAGATTGAAGATAAGTGTGTTGTTGATTTTGAGTTATGTATTTGAGTTGCTGTTTTTTTTTTGTATTCCGATCTGAGAGAGATGGTTAGTGCTAAACAAATATTAATTCCATTAACGGTTGGGACATCTCCGGAAATCAATTTCACCCTTTCCTGTAAAATGGCCGATCGTGATATACCGGTATAATGGTAAATTCCATTTAAATTACCTGTTTGCGTTTATATATAGAGTATGTTTACTGGTTTTAGCCCTTATGGTGAATTCATAGGCGTTCGGACTCGATGAATGTTAGGGGTTGAGAGCAGAACCTGAAATGCCTAAAAAAAAAATTCGGGTTACCACGATGGCGTCGGTCGTCTGCGAGAGGCGAAGGGGGGTCCCCAAGAAAAATTTGGAAAATTAAACGGCCGCAAACGCGTTTTCCTGCTATTCCAGCCCGTGAATACAGCATACAGCAACTCCAAAATGGTCTAATACTAGCTTTGTTGGCTGCCTCGGATTCCAATCAACCAATCAATCCTTTACAGTCCACTGCCACAATCGCGTTATTCCAGCCCGTAAATACAGTCCATGGTCCAATATAGCCTACCTTAGATGGCTGACCTGAATCCCAAACAACAAATCAATCGTCGAGGGGTATGGAGGTCTCGCCCTCCCCGAGAAAATTTTGAAAATTTAACCGCCGGAAATGCGTTTTTCTGCTATTCTCGCCCGTGCGTTAAGCAATTTCTAAGTTTCAAATCCTTTTTCAACCGAAATCCCACTGAATCCAAACCATCCTAACGGACTGTTGCAGCTGAAAGTAATCAATGCTCGAAAAATGTCGCACACAGTAGAGTAGCTGCAGTTTTTAGCCGTGATAATTTTTATCTACGGCTGCAATTGATACACTATTCGAGGCTTTAAGCAAGTAAAATTAGGTTCAGTTGCAAAATTTTCAACACATATCATCACAGTTTGCATGGAAATAAGTAATTTTGTTACTAATAGTGAAGAGTGGAACACTGAAATCATAATCTTATCTTATCGAACAGTAAAGTTTTTCGAGTGACATGACACCCCGCGATTCTGGTTCGGCAGCCATTTTAAACTGAACAGAAATTTCGCATAGCAGTTGGGTTTAATCAAATCATATGATTATACGGTAGGGTTTCACCTTTATTTCAATGGGAATTGGTTTATTATATGTTAAAGGAGCTAAATCACTAATATTTGGGAACTACAAATTGACACAAATGGGTCGCAACCTATATAATAATATAATATGAATGTAAATAAACCGATTTACATTCAATCGTTTCCATTTTTACTCGAATTTCAAAGCAGTTATGTTCGGCGAAATACGCCAGAAGTCTCAATCCAATGGCAATCTCTAGCGTCTGGTTATTCCAGTCTACACCGATAGTATTTATTGCGCAGGCTCTCCAGATAAGAATATAGGGTCACCGTTTGACATGACTTGTGGAATATGTCTAACCTCGTTCTTCGAGTCGCTTGTTACAAATTGCGCTGTAACGCATTATGGTACACGATTCGTGTACCAATCGTAAAATGTTTATTTTGTCTTGAATATTGGATATCAGAAGCCCGTCTTTTCCCGGTAAAATCACAACACCAATGTTGATTAAAACTGACAAATAATTCGTGTTTTCATTGTCGAAGGTTTTGGATGATATTGAGTTAGAGACTTAGCTACTTTAAGCTATGTACAGTACAGTTTGGGGTCAGTGTTATTGGAAATTTAGGGAGTTATAGGCCAGTAACGTTTTTTAGTCAATTGACTACAAAACTTGCTCAAATGAAGACCTTAGGACAGTCCACTACTGTGGCTGGAGCAAGACGGAAGACATCAGTAGTGAAACCATTTCTAACAGTAGAATGGCTCCGGACAAAATGTTTTAATCCATAGTCAATATAGTACAAATTTGTGGTATTCAATTAAAAGAAAAGTAAAATCAGTGTTTCATTAGATTTCGGGCACTTTATTTTGCCAACTAGATGAAATAATAATTTTTGTTTTCACTTTACCCGTCTGCCCGAAAAGTCAGATTGCCCGAAAGTTCGGTCCTTTTGGAACTTAGCAATTCTAAGTATAGAGAGAATACTTAAAGGTATGAAAAATCGAACTTTCGGGATTAAATCATTTATTAAACATTTACAAGAAAATTGTTTTGCATAGTTTACATGCAAAATAATTGATTAGCGTATCTTTCACTTGGCTACACATAACATCAAATTCAGAATAAGAAAGGGGTCCTATGCCATTGACAAGCACTGCATATTACCTATATATTGGAATTTAATAACACATATTGGCGTGTTAGTTCCTATAGAGCTAAAGAAGACCAGTATGTTTAAAATGTCAACATTTTGTCAAAGACAATAATTTGCAAGACTCGAAACTGAAAATGTGAAGCTATTATATTTATTTCGAGTAATTATTTAAAAACAGGATGTATTTTTAAGTTATAAGCTTATGGTGCAGATAAGTCTCTTGGGCTAATGAAGACGGGCATACGCCATACAGTGTGCTATGAGGGAAATTTTGCCCGGACAGCGGCACTACGGCCTACTCTTATATCGAATTCCAACTTTCAAGGGATCTTTTACGTGCATGCCAATGTGTACACGGGACCTCGGTTTTTCGTCCCATCCGAACGACTGGACAGCTGTCGCCTATCAGGCCCTCCGCCCTGCATCACTGACAAGGGGGAACCACGCCGGAAAATCTGGATGAACTTTCTTAGCCAATGCAGGGATCGAACATAATATTTATGAAATTCTATGAGGAGTTATTTGACTGGAATTGCTGAAGTAATAGCTTTATTAAACACCACTAAGCATGCAGGTTCCTGCCCCACCCCCCAACTCATGTGGAGCCTATACAAGGGAGACCCAGGAGAGAGCCTAGGAGAGAGCCTATACATCTAAACAAAAGGCCTCAGATGCAAAGAAATAAAGAAATCGACTTCATACTTTCAAAATTTTCTTGGGGAGAACCCCATACCCGCGTCGAGGCTCCGTGGTCAGTCACGCCGGGACAGTCCTCCTCTCATTTTTCTGCACACGCCCCTGCTAAGCATTTCAAATCTCTCAACACTGACTCAAGGAGGTGAACAAACTTGACTTGACCCAATGCTACTATAGTAGAACTACCGGTCAGTTAGGTTATGGATTAAGCGTTCTTTAAATTTATTATTCTAACTTTATTGAATTTCGTGACGTAATTTGATTGTTTGATGTCAAGGAAACCAATGAAAAAAGAGAGGCACATTGGACGTAATGGTAAGTGGCAACTAGACTATTTTATTTCTTATAAGTTATACCTCTGTCATTTTCATAAATGTCACACAGACTATAAAATTAGAAGTTTTAATTTAACGATTATTATAGGCCTATTCGACTATGATGGTTCAAGTGTGATTCTGAACATTAATAACAAATTATCTTGGTTCTCCGACGGACTTGGCCCTGATCGGTTATAAAAGAGCTCTTAAAAAGAATTTAAATGTCGTTAAAATAAAGTTATTTGAAATTCAGATGACTCTTGCTTTCAACTTCCTTGTGTCCTATAGCATTTATTACTGTCTAATTTAGAAGAGAATTGGTCGAGGTCTCAACAAGTGGGCAACTATTATGTTGTTTGAATACGTTGAATTGAATTGTTCAGTTTGTGAAAGACTTGGTTACCACGAAGGGGATAGCAAGGAAAGTGTGCTAATAAGCGTGCACGTTAAAAAAACCCTTGACATTTGGAAACCGAAGAACAGTATGCGGAAACGCAAAATTCTATTATTTGGCACTGCAGAGGTACATGTAACTATAAATTATAAAAATTGTCGAAATGACCGAATTATTGTGTTGACGAGACATTAAACACCGTTCCATAAATATATCTGAGACTTTTCTTTAAGATTTTACTATTAAGTAGTTCTTTTCGGCTTTCTCTGTAAAATAGACATAGACTTCCCGATTACAAACTAAACTTCAAAAGCTTTTATCGTGGGATGAAAAACGGTTGGAATAAAATCCAAACCCAATGCAAAGCCAAAAGTGAGTTTCAAATTAATGTGCAATTTATTTTTCATTTTTCAGACCGAGTCCGTCTCTGGCATAGGCCTACTTTAAATTATATATGTTCCAAAGTTGTATTATTTGCCTTTCTAAAGTCATGCATATTTATATATTCAACCTTTCTACTCAACAAAAACCTCCGACACATCGAAAGTTCTGAAACTGACAAACAAGTGGGCTTTGTCGGTTTGACTCGTTAGAGACCTCAAGCAAGGCATAAAAAAGTGCCAATGAATTCCTAGCTGGACTAAAACAAACCATTTATCCAAAACATTTGTATTATGATATCTAGATTTGTTGGGCGAACATTCTATGACATTTTTATGATGAAGAGAGCACCATGCTGGGGGTGACAG